GAACCTTAAGGTCAGCGGTTCGAAACTACCAGTCGCTCCGCGGGAGAAAGATGAGGCTTTCTACTCCCGTAAAGATTTACACCCTCGGAAACCCTGTACTGGGTCGCTATGGGTCGGACCCGACTCGATGGCACTTAACAACAACAACATAATTCCATACAGATTGAATAAATATGGTGAAAGAATAAAACCCTGGTACACACCTTCCTAATTGTAAACCATTTAGTACCCCTTGTTCTGTTTGAAAAACTGCCTCTTCGTCAATGTACAGGTTTCTCATGAACACAATTAAATATTCTGGAATACTCATTCTCCGCAATGTTGCCCATAGCTCGTCATAATCCACACTATCGAAACCTTTTGCATAGTTAATAAAGCACAGGTAAACATCTTTTTGGTATTCTCTGCTTTCAGCCAAGATCCATCTGACATCAGCAATGATATCCCTCCTTCCACATCTTCACCTGAATTTGGTTTGAACTTCTGACTATTCCTTGTTAATGTACTTTGCAGCCATTTTTGAATTTATACTTTAACAAAATTTTACTTGCATGCAATATTAATGATATTGTCCAATGATTTCCACATTCCATTAGGTCACTTCTTTTTGGGATGGGCACAAATATGGATTTCTTCCAATCAGTTTGGCCAGGTAGCTATCTTCCAAATTTCTTGGCATAGATGAGTGAGTGCCTACAGTACTGAATCAGTTTGTTGAAAGTTTGAATTTGTATTCCATTAATTCTCAGAGCCTTGTTCTTTGCCAATGCCTTCAGTGTACTTTGGACTTACAACTTCAGTATCATTGGCTCTTGATTATATGCTACCTCTTGAAATGGTTAAACATCAACCATTTCCTTTTTATGTAGTGGCTCTGTGTAATCCTTTCATCTTCTTTTGATGCTTTCTGCATCATTCAATATTTTGCCCATACAGTCTTTCAGTATTGCATGTTGAGGTTTGAAATTTTCTTCAATTCCCTCAGCTTGAGAAATGCTGAGCATGTTCTACCCTTTTGGTTTTCTAACTCTAGTTCTTTGTATATTTCATTATGATACTTAACTTTGTCTCTTGACCTGTCCTTTGAAATTTTCTGTTTTGCTGTTTTACTTCCTCATTTCTTAACATTTCTTATCAACACTGGCTTTAGTGGTTGGTGTGTAAATTTGAATAATAGTGGTATTAGCTAGTTTTCCTTGTAGGCATGTGGATATTATCACAAATAGCAATGTGCTTTAAGATGGAACTTGAAATATTCTTTCTATTGATGAATGAGATGCCATTCTTCTTGAATTTTACATTCCTGGCATAGTAAACCATATGATTGTCTGATTCAAAATGGCTAATACCAGCCCATTTTAGCTCACTGATACCTAGGATATTGATCTGTAGTCATGCCTTTTAATTTTTGATAGCTTCAGTTTTCCTAGATTCATACTTATTACATTCCATGTTTCGATTTTTAATTGATGCTTGAAGCTTTTCTCCTCATTTTGGATAGTGCCCAATTAGCAAATTATGGTCCCAAAGACTTTGCTGTATTCATGTCATTATGGTCAACTCTACGCTGAGGAGGCAGCTCTTCCTTAGTGACATCTGAGTGCCTTCCAATCTGAAGGGCTCAGCTTCAGTTCTTTGTCTGCCAGTGTTCTGCTACCATTCATAAAGTTTTCATCTTCCAGCGTTATATCTAACAGTGTGCCACTGGCTAAATATTTTTCAGCCTTTCCTTTTTCTTAGTCTGTCTTCATTTGGAAACTCCACTGAAACCTGTCCACCATGGTGTTTAAAATACCAGTGTTATAACTTCCAGCATCGCAGCAACACACACGTCACCACAGGTCAACAGACAGATGAGTGGTGGAGAGTATATGTGTGTGTATATATGTATATATAGGTATACATCTATATATATGAGTATGTACGTATTGGATATGTGTGTGCACATATATATGAATTCACATATGTATATTTATAGAGAGCACCATGGTGGTACAGTAGTTAAGTATTCATCAGAAAACCAAAAAGCTCAATGGTTTGAATCCACCAATCACTCAATAGGAGAAAGATGTGGCAGTCTGCTTCTATAAAGATTACATTTTTCTATAAAGATTACATTTTGCAAATCCTTTAGGGCAATTCTGGGGTCCTACTTTGGTGTTGTAGGATAAGCACTGAACTTCTAACCATAAGGAAGGCTATTCAAACCCACCAGTAATTCCTCAGAAAACCTATACAGGGCAACTGTGCGTCGGAACTTACTTGATGGCACTTAACAACAACAACGGGTCAGTTTTACCCTGTCCTGTAGGGTCACTCTGAGTTGGAATTGACTTGATGACGATGGATACATACATACATACATACATACATATATATATATATATATATATATATACACACTGTCAAGTCAGCTCTGACTCATGGCCACCCTATGTATAACAGAATGAAATGTTGCCTGTTCTTGTGTCATTTTCATGATTGTTGGAATGTTTGAGTCCAGTCAAGCAATATTTTGCTCGAATCTTTGGTGGTTTCATTGGCTAACTTTCAGAAGAAGATTCCTAGATCTTCCTTACTAGTCTGTTTTGGTCTGGAAACTACTAAAACCTGTCTCCTATGGTGACTCTGCTGATATTTGTAATACTAGTAACATAGTTTCTTGTATTGAAGCAACACATAAGCCACCATAGTACGACACACTGACAGACAAGTGGTGGATATACACACACGTGGATTTTTGCGACAGTTTCCTTTTCCTATTCCCCTACCTATATGCTAAAAGGCTTCCCAATTAAGGCCTCATTGGTAATTGATTTCTAAATTAAGAAGCTGATGGTCTTCCATTTAAAAAATGAGACCTCTTGTACAAACGCTACTTTTTTGCATTGTTGGAAAATTCTCTCTTTTTTTGCTTTTTTGGAGAATTGTGTGAAGACTTACAGACAAGATCATCAGCTTTACATCCTACAAATCAACGCTTTGTTCATCTCAGTGATTACAGTCCCTTCCACACAACAGCAGTTATCCCACTTCCTCCCTGCCATTCCTATTTCCATTCCACCCACCTTCCTGTCCTTTCTCAACTTTGTCCTTAGGAAAATGTTGCCATTTTTGTTCTGAATGATTGACCATTCCGTGGTAAGCACGTCTTATTAGTGTTGTCTTCCCAGTGTTGTCGTTTCCCCCTATAAACCTCTCTGCTGCTTGGCTGAAAATTGGGTCACCAGGGTGAGTTCCTTTCCAAACCTGAAGGGTAGTCAAGGACGGTAGTCTCAGGTTCCTCTAGTTTCTTTCTGACCAGTAAGTACGGTCTTTTTAAAAATTATTAAATAAGTTTGAGTTTTGTTCCACATTTTCTCCTACTCAATCCGGGACCCTCTCATGTGATACTGTTTAGGTTGGACAAACACTACATTTCAGCAACTTTGGTTTGTGGCACAGTGTCCTTGAAATAGGCATCTGACTTCAGGAAACACCACTTAGGCTTTGGCTTCAATGCTTAAAACTTGCTCTGACTGATTTGTTCCTACACAGATACACCTCTGTTTCCAATTAACTTTGCATGAACCTCTGATTCTAAAACTCTCATTTTGTGACTTGGTTTAATCTTCACATACTCTTATGAAGTATGGATTACTAATATCAATTCTTAGAGTATTTTTAAAATGGTGCTAGCATTGGAATAAGCAGCTCTGTTGGCCTAGGGGTTATGAGTTGGGCTACTGATACCAAGATCAGCAGTTAGAAACTACCAGCTGTTCTGTGGGAGAAACATGAAGCTTTCTGTTCCCATAAAGATTTACAGCCTTGGAAACCCTATGCAGGGGGGCTATGAGTCAGAACTGACTCCATGGCACACCACCACCATCACTGGAATGGTGATTACATGTTTCAGAGCTCTTTACCCTTTTTTCACACTTTCACCATTTTTAAGCCTAAAATGGAAGACATTGAAGTTTATCATTTAATTATATGATTTGTTCAGAAGGAAATTTGATGGAAAAAGAACCAGTTTCTGTAGAAAAATTAAAACTGGGCATTGTATTAAAA